GTCTTAAAGCAAACAAAATGGTATGTTTGAAATAAAGAAATCAATTTTTTGTAAAATATCAACCCTACAAACTTTAAGGATAAGCATTGTTAAATACAAACAAAATAAGCAATTTGTCCTTAACTTAAACATCACAATCTAATTGGCAAGTTTTCCATGTTCCGAAGAATTTTTTAACAATCATTTATTAATATAATAAACTAGAGCAATTTTGTCACGACAAAGACATCTCATGTCGGCAATGTAACTGCTCGGAAAACAACGTGCCGTATTCAACAGATCAAAAGATAAGGTGTTTTAAGAACCAAACGGAATGTGTCCCGGCAAATATAACATTTTCTTTTATTTCGAGACTTTATGTAGCATGGTATATTGAGAAGTTTAATTAAACCACACATGATTGATTATGATATAAAAATGAATATATTTAATAAGTCAATCAATAGTTGATATGTAATTATATATGGATTTAAAGTGATTAAGCTTCAATTTAACCCCCTCACTTGAAAGCAATAATTTAATTTTTTTAAAAAATATCAATTTTTTTTTAATGTCCTATTGAATTTGATGAAATAGGAACAAAAAGTCCCCTAAGTTTTCAATAATTTAATATTTCCAACAAATATAAAATTATTTAAAAGAATTTTAAAACTAGAAAAAAAAAATTATTTAAAAACATTGTAATAATAATTATAAATATATAGTGGTTTTATCATTAATTTAAAAAAAAATAATTAAAACGAAAAATTTTGATTATATAAATATTTTATTTTTTTATTTGAATATTTCTTAATTGTATTTTACCTAAATAAAATATTCAATTATAATTTTTGATTTAAATTGAAATTCTTTTTTAGCAGTAAACTGAGTTTTTTTTTGTTCTTTTTGGTGGTAAATTGAAGGAGTAATTGTATTAAAAATTCAATTTTTTTGTATAAAACTAAATATTAATTGGCAAAAATTTATGGGACAAATTGAGCTCAATTCCATTTAAAACTAATAATATCTGTTTTTTTTAATAAAAAAATAAAATAAAAAGATGCCTTGACAAGTTGCCAATTTAATAGTTTCAACTTTTTTAAATAAAAAAAGAAAGGGCTTTTAACAAAAATAATGCTCTCGCATAAAACTATTTTCCAATCTAATGCTATTTGAGAAAACTATCCCTTACCAATCTTAATTGTTCCTCAAATGGAGAGAGTGTTGCACTAAAACCACCAATTGAGTTAGTGGTTTTGGATTTGTGCAATAGAAAAAAGTAATCCACATTGACAAGCAATAAAACATAGTTATATGAATAAATAATAAATTTTTTTATTTTGTATTGAGACACCAATCCAATTGGTGGTTTCATACGAAATGAAAGATTTTAAGTTTTCAATTTGTCTTTTCACTAAAACACACAATTTCAAATTTATAAGTCTTAGTGCAATTATGAGATATGAACTACTAATCAACAAAAAGTATAGTGGAGAAATAGTGTTTTTGTAATAGTCCCCACGTCAAGATTAATTAAGTGGTTTCAAAATAAAAAAATATTTAATTCACTCAAAATATTTTTTCACAAAAACACATATAATCTGGTGTTTTTGGTGGCAATACATTTGGAATGTGCAAACGAACTAGACGTTGGATTTCATTTCGAGGTGGCAGAAAAAATTTAGAAACCCCTTTTTTGTTTGATAATTAATTCCGATGTCTTTTTATTCTTATCTTAATAATTACTTAATCTAATTGAATAATAAATTTTGCTCTTATTCCATAATTTTTTTTTTACTACAGGCAAGATGGGCTTCCAACATGTATATTACAGTTCAACATCAATCAACATTCCGTCGAAAATTATTGAGCTTGTTTGCGGTGCAATAAATGAAAGAAATTCGTATCGAACTCATCTTATGACTTCAACTTGCCCCTCTATCTAGTTAGAATTTCCTCGCGTTTCAAACACCAAAAGACTATAGAGGCGAAGGAGGAACGTGAAAATGGCATCTAGAATATATTCTAATTTGAAACCAATGACAAGTAGAACGATACATCTCAAGTCCCCTTCTTCTATGACATATAACTATTATGAAAAACGTTATCACGTTAAATATGTCCAACACATCATCTTCTGGCATCAACAACCTGAGTGGAGTGTACGCATCTGTAATATTAGAAATGTCATTCAAATATTCATTACACTCCGATGATGGCAACCCATCAAACTCGTACTTCTTTACTCCCCAAAATACGTGAGGCAATGTCCCATTTTAAATATACAATAACATGCTTTCAAATGACTCTATGGTGTCCTTTTCGGCCATCGTGATGAATCTAACATCTCCTGCTAGGCACTCATTTTAATGAATTTCCTTAGAGATGATGGATGTACCCGAGCAATAGACTCATCTAACCTTTTTTAAGCTCCGTAACAACCATTGAACTGTGGTTCAAGCTTGTCAACATGAGTGTTGATTAATATAATATTGAGGCATGGAGAAGATATCACAGTATTAAAGAATGCAGTACATCGAAATCCCGTTGTAAATAGGAGGCTCTAAAGGTGTGTATGGAAGACTTGTGGGTAAACCATTAATTATGATTAATTTATCCATGTAAATAGTTATTTAACAAATTTTAAATGTCATAATAAGTTCAACTCGAAGGCACTTTATTACCTCGGTATTTAACTGTGTAAGGAATTAATGTTGCTCTCATAGCTTAACTTGAAATAATTATTATCCAAAAGCCACTAGATCATGTGTGGTTTTAAGAAAAATATTGGAGTAAAACAATTTTTTTTTAATTGAAATTACTAATTTTAATCTAGTGGACTCTTAACAAAATACTATTTTCCTATGTACTTTTTACTGATTAATAGGTGGACGCATCTCATAGTTTCACTAAATAACCACCAAAAGATTGTGTGTTTTAGTGAAAACGGTAATTGACAAACTTAAAAATTTTCATTTTGTATTAAAAAATCAACAATTGATTGGATGGTCCTCAATCCAAATAAAATTGAATTATTTAATTCATAATAACTAATTTTTGCTAATTAATTATCGAGTACGAGTTACTTTTTCTATTGCAACTGAAACCATCAACTTAAATTGACGATTTTTTAGTGCAACACTCTCTCTCTCCATGTCAGGATATTTAAATTGACAATTAATCTAAAAATAGCATTAAATTAGAAAATAATTTTATGAAAAGCCAATTATTTTCGTTCAAAAAGCCCAAAAAAAAATGGATAGCTTGTTCCCTATCGATTCACAGCTGAAAAGTCAAGCATAATCCTTATCTGAAATATGCGCGCGTGAATGTAATGCCATTTGTACAAATCCACACATGGATTTCATTTTGCTTTTTTTCATCGAATTTAATCCTCCACTCACAAGATGAATAAAAAGGGAATCTTCACCAAATGAAATGAAAAATATAAATAGAAATAAAAAAAATATCTTGGTCAAATATTTTTTTTATCTTTTTATTTGGTAAAAAAAAAAAAAAATAAATAATTTTGAAATGGTTTTTTTTATTTTAAGGGGTTTATGGCCAGAATTTTTAAATAAAAATTTAATTACATTCATATATTTAGTTAATAAGAATAGTGGAAAGAAAATAAAAAAATCAAAGTTGTCTTTTCTCTATTCTTTCGCCGTTATATTGCAATTTCTTTTTTGATTCGATAACTTACCCAAATTTGTCTGATTAATGATTATATTGCATTTCTTTTTGATCGATAACTTACCAAATTTGTCTGATTAATAATTTGTACCAGTTGGGTCTTGTATAAAAATCCTATATTTGTTTTATTGTGGGTTTACTCTCTGTGATATAATGAATAAAACCGACCAATTTTATACAAATTTACTGATCAATTGCTGATTGTTTTTCCACAGATTACTTGACTAAATAATTTAATTTTGAAAATTAGAAATTGATAATAATAACCGTTTCATGACAAAGCACCAATAAAATTACCGATAAAATACAGACAATTTACCGATAAAATTTTTCTAATCAAAATTAGCAACAAATTCTTTGATAAAGAAAACTCATATTTATCGATAGAAAATATAAATTTAGCGACAAAATATCGGTCAGTAATTTACTGACAGAATGATAATTGGTAGGTAATAATTTAGCGATAAGGACTTTACGGACAGAATTATTATGTCGTTAATCAATAGTTAACCTAAATTGCGATAAAATTTTCATGATTTACCTACTGAATTTTCTGTGGCTAATTTTTCATTTTTTTGTAGTAATTAATATACCCACTGATAACAGATTTTTACATTGAAATTACTATTAAAATAAATGAATTATATTCAATTCTTCAAACTTGACAACATTATTTGAAATTTCTTGCAATTAGTTGTACTTAGACAACTCCTCAACCAATTTTTTTAATTAAACAAGTGCAAGTAAATTATGGCTTTAAAGTTTAAGATTAAATATAATCAATAAAATTAATTATTTCATTACATGTAAAATAAAAAAAAATTAAATTTCAAAATCAATCCCTTTTTCCTTATAAGAACTTTGACATGTCACACGTATACAGCACTGAAATCCCTTTGTGAAGAATGTTCTTTTAACTTTCATTTTCCTTTTAAAACAAATGTTAACAGTAGTGTAAAACATTAAGTTATTAAATATTTTCGTAGTGTTGAAGTAATAAATGAATGATGATAAAGTTTAATAAAATTATCCAAATGAATTTGAACGTTCTTAGGTTTATCATATTATTAAATATAAATTAAAAGCTCAATCACACATTCATAATTCTTTCTTCTTTAAAATGATGAAATCGTTGCGTGGAGAGAAATGACTAAAAATAACGAAATTATTTAAAATTGATACGTGTAAATTCTAATTTTCAAGAATAGAAGTAATAAATAATGACGTAGATTGAATAGATCAATTATTATTTAAATATTTTTAAATTGCAATAGCAATTATTCATCTATTTAGTCATTCAATGAAATTATTAATACAATCCTTCGTATATATTAAAGGAAACTTTTATTTTATTATAATTGAAATCATTTCATGATTTATTTGAAGATACAGTAAAACTGCATAGCCCTAGGTTATAATAGGAACTTGAACCACCACACCACATTCATTAACCCAAACCCTGACCCTGTCGCACCTAAAGTCCGCAGTCACTGGAGTTCCTTCCTTCAACACAATTGCATTCACATTACTGTTCTCTTTCTCTATGAGAGCTGCAGCAGCTTTTCCATTCGCCCCAAGCAGCTCCGGCCATGAGCTCTTACCTGCAAATTTTCAATTTTTCACGACATACACTTCTCATCTTTCTCTATGGAGAGGCTGCAGCAGCTGTTTCCATTCGCCCCGAAGCATGCTCCGGCCCAATGGAGCGGCCTCTACACTGCAAGGATTTTTCTAATTTTGTCTCGACCATACCACAGAACCAAAGGGTTAAAACAGAATAATACTGCTAGTAAACTAAAAATTTACCGAGGTGTGGAACATATATTTTGCAGCCATTGTCCTTTTTTGCTCTATTGGTTTCTCTCCTCTCTCTTCCTTTCTACTAAGTGTGAAGAAATCTGAAGCTAGTGATGGATTTATATAGAAGCTTTTTAATTTTTAGCAGGAGATTTTTTTTTTTTTTTATTTAGTGGTGGACAAAAAAGAAATGTTTTAAAACGTGGGCGGCCAATTCTGGTAGTTACTTCGTAAAATGTTTGGACCAAGGACGGTTCAAAAATAAATAAATAAATAAATAAAAATAATAATAATAATAACTTTTGTATACAAAATTCCTTTCCAAAACTGCACAAAAAAATTTTATGTCCCTCTACTTTTAAAGCGGTCTTATGACATCTAAAGTTATAAATTGCTGAAATTACACCCTCGTTGATCCGGTCAGCAACGCGTGAAAAAGTAAATTTTTTTACTACATGTGAATTTTTAAAAATATTTCTAGATTGCATTTTAAATTATTAAAAAGTATTTTTTATTACTAAGTTAATTAGAATATTATTAAATTTATTTTTCTCTCTCATTCTATTTTTTTTCTGTAAATTTACGCTGGACTTGGATTATTCTCAAACTAAACCAATCGCATCTCTCCTCCTACTTGTTTATCAAACCAATTTCATCTCCTCTCACCCAAACAATTGATTTTAAAGGTTCAAAGGTAAAATATATAGAATTTGCAGATCTGAAATATTGAATAACTTGAATAAAAAATCTTAAAATTTGGACAACAAATCAAACATAATATATATATATATATATAACAAATAAAATCATTTGAATAACTTGATAAAGAAATCTTAAATTTGGACAACAAATCAAACATGAATATATACTACTAGTCTTATATATATATATATTAATAATCAAATTAATATCCAGATATATATAATCAAAATAATATCAGATATCAAATTATTATCAATCTAAAATTGCTTCTATATCTTAGGAAATTATTGAATGAAAAAATACAGCAACGAATTTCGGTATATATAATAAAAAAAATTATTGATTGGTCTCGCCGGCTTGTGGCCGATCTTGCTGGAGAAGCAGAGAGTAGTGCTGAAGCGGGCTGCATCGACCAGAAAGCCAGAATACGACTCGCTCTCTACTGCGCTCGCCGGAAGAGAAAGAGAGAGCGCGGAGATGGATTGAGCGGCGGAGGAACGGCGACAAGAAGCTCTGATCGGCGCGACTTGAGCTCAGGTCACCGGAAACGCCAAAAGAAATAAGAAAAAGGACTGTCTCGATCGACAAGGCCCTCTGTCTCTCTCATTAGCGCTGCTTGAACAAGAACAAAGGCAAAGGCGGTGACCAGAGGTGCTGCCGGTGATGTGAGGTGGTCAGATCGACGGAGCTTTGAGCTCTGGTGAACGAAAAAAAAAGGGGATAGGGGAGCGGGCTGTGGTGCGATCAAGAAGAGGAAGAAGGGATTTTGGGTTAGAGCAAAATAGGGATTTTTAGATTTCTAGCTAGTTGCTGATTTGGTTCGATTTACGTTTGATTTGACTCAATTCATGAATTTTTTATTGCATGATATCCAACATGGCAAAATTATGTTACTTGAAATTGTAATTTTACACCTCATCTGCGTACGTTGTGTACAACCAGTTTAGGTGGTGAATTTATATAGAAGCTTTTAAATTTTTAGCCGGA